AGTATGTGTACGGAAAATAAGTTCATGTTTTTATCAAATGTACAGATTTTCTGAAAATTCTGAAGTCATGACATTGTTTGACAGACAAATATTATTAGAGGGGCAAAGCTGAGAGGCAGGTGCTGTTCTTTCTCACATAGAGGTTAAAGTGCAAAGATTGGACAGAAGCGACACAGTTTAATAGTCAGTGCTGAAGGTGCAGAGATTAAGATCAGTGCAGAGCTTGAGATCTCTGCAATTTTTGTTGCTGATACCATGGCACAGAGCAGATGGATTTTTCAGTTTAGCTGGCTGATTGTTGTTTCTTTAGATACTGATGGACTTTTTCATTGCCTCTTAGCTGTTTCGCTTGTTTCTTGTATACCATAATTGGTTTTTCTTATGTCTTACATATGAGATCAACTGATTTTTCTGAACATTCTTCGTCTTCACTTTGTGCATCATCCCTCATAGGGTGTGCTTGGTGTTGGTTGTAGGTTACTGTCCTGTGTTATATTCCATTTCATTACAATATCCGAGTATGCATTTTGCTGTTCATCCTGTAATTTTTTTTTCTTTAGGCTGTTTTTTTTTACTTGATCCAGGAACGATATGTAAACATGGTATCTGTTTAGATAGTTCCGATTGACCCCTTCTCATAATGAGAATGTATATGACTATTCCGGCCTATTCCCATATGGGATGAACTTATAATCATGCATATACAGGAGGAAACTTCATTCTCGATTCTACGAGAGTTTTCTTTATATTGCTTTAATTCTTATCTGTTTGCCTTTGTTTTGCCCCCTTTTTCTTTGTCAGTTCTAACTGTGAAATTTACGAGGTGCATGTACCGATTGTATATTGTTTTGGAGAAGTTTATGCTGTTGCATTTGAATTTTCTTTCGTGTGCTTACCCCTTTATTTACACTTTGGTCATTGTGTTAAATTGTCAAATGAGGAAAGAAATTCTCACTTCTCTTCATTGTGTTTTTTTCCAGATTGTTCTTAATCCTAAATGTTGTGGCTGCAACATAAATCTTGTTGGACCTTGTTTTAAGGACAAGGGAAGATGTTTGCTGTATTTGGACGCTGAAATACTTTGATATTGGTATCTATAGAACACTTTAAGAACACTATAGAACAAATTGTCAAATTTGAGGTTTTTAGTGGTTCAATCATGAATTTCACTGGGAATTATTGAAGTCTTGGGAAAAATTCAGGCTACTTAAAACTCTGGGAATATGTAAATGTCTTTCCTGGATGACCTTTTCCTTCATATGATTATCAAAACATCAGCTATCTGTCAAATCATTGGTAAAGTGATATCTTGTGGAGTTCTCTCATCATGCCACCTTGTTTTTCGATTTGATAGTCAGGTTCATGAGAGAATAGGAAGAAAGAATCCTGAACAAGAAATTCTTGGCCATATAGAAACTAAAAACTAATTCAAGTAAATAATTTTCTAAATGGAAAATGGAATTTCATATTATACTAATATATAGAAGAGGCTTGGCAAGCAGGAGACTGTTGTTTTTGCTGTTTCAAATTTATCTTGCTTTCCTTTTTCCTGTTTGAATGTTATTTGACAATCGAGATGCATTTTTTTTGTTGCATCAAAGACAGTAGCAGAAATGTTTCTCTGAGGTACCATATTGTCTTTTTATGGAAATACTTCAGTCCTCATTGGTTACTGCATCATGGAAAGAAATAAAGCTCTCCAATGGAATATGAGAAAATGTGTTATAGCTCATGTATTCTCATTTTGATACTTGCTTTGTTTTTGCGTTTGAGTTGGCATTCAGTTTTTACTAAAATAATTGCCTAATGAAAGAAAACTAAAAGTTAAAATAACAAAATATTTCAATCGCTGATAGCCTGATACTCTGATTTACATGAGCTACTAACTGTAAGATTGTAAATTCTTGCCTTGTCTCTGTTATGTGATATTCTTGTGCATTAAGTTCTGATAATTTTTAGATTTTGCTTAGCTTGCATAGAAGAATGATGTGTTTGAGATGCATAGGTGTGACGCCTTTTATGTTTTTGAGAGTTGGTTTTGTCAGCACTGTTATGTAGTCAATTAGATGATTACTACAAGTCTTAGCCAATGTGAATATGAAAATGTTAGGGGTATCCTTTTGCTGTAATACTATTACTACTACTGTTCGTTGCTGAATAATTGGGACTCATTGGGTACTTGTATTTTGTTGTTTTCCAAGTTGAGTTGCTTAGACTAAAATGAGATAGTGTACTTGAAAACAAGTATGCGTAAGAGGATATGAGTGTGACGTGCTTTAGTGTCGGTATTAGTATGTTGGCTTTTCTTCTATGGTTGGTGAGTTGATATGTTGGCAGAACTACAGCAAGAGGAAGTAATAGGAGATTTGCCCAGTTGGTGATGTATTCTCTTTACCTGCTTACTAAAAGCAGGAATTTTTAACTTATACAGCTCCACACAACTAAGCATGTCCTTTGGCTTTTGACCTTACAGGTTTCCGAGATAAAAGCAGAAAACTTTCCACCAAAGTGGCCATTGTTATTCAAAATGAGATACGAACAGATTTCTACAATATTGTCTGTGGAGCTGTGGTATGTGCCGCTCTCGTCCAACTTTTGCTCTTATTACTCCTACACAGTTAACTGCTTAATGGTTATAACTGCACGAAATGGTTACATAGAATAGAATGGAACTGGTTAGTTATCCCATTCTCACACTGTTCGATGCTGCTCATATCTTTTCTTTCCTGTCATAGTAACTGCTAGACCTAGTAAATGGACAAAATTTAAAGAAGTTCCCGGAGATTACAGGAGCAGAAGTCCACGGTGCATATTGATCTCAATTCTTCTGTAAATAAGAAGAGACAAGATTAGTATGGTTGCTAAAAATATTTTTGAGAAAAACACACTTTTGGCCGGTCGGCCAAAATAGTTACATCCACTAGCCAAATATATATTTTACCGGCTATTATTTTTGGGAGCGACTATACTGTGTAGTTTTCCAAAAAAAAAAAAAAGGTAATCTAATCTATACTAATTAATAACTATACTTCCTCAGATTGTCGGGGCTTGATGAGGTTGAAGGAAGTGAGGACAGGTATTACGAGGTTGTTGGAGGGATAACTCCGGCCCGTCTTGTAGTGAAGGATACTAGATAAGTGAAAAAATGTGGTATGTGCTGGACATCAGAGGAAAGTTGAAAAATATACAGGTTATGGCTGTTTTTTCCTCCTAGCTGATGACAATTTTTGAGAAGTTGGATAGAAAAACAAGCATTTTTCATTTTGAGGTCTTGGAATCAAGATTTAGACTCCATTACTCGAGTCAGAGTCTTCATGGACTTGTATTTTGATATAGTCTTCCCTATTGATCCAATTAACGATGTCCTTTTTGGCTTGCATAACCCCTTACTCTGAAAAAGGTGACTTAATTGTCAACTTGATTCTTGCCTAACCCCGTATTCCAGAATGCTCCACATATATACTATTCTCATATGGCATGTCACACTTTCCTTACCTGAAGACAAAAAAAACCAAATTTTCAACACCGCCTGTGTTTGAGTTATGCTTTAACACAGCCGTTCTTTCCTCTTTAGTAGTAATAGCTTTACTACAAATTTCCCTAGTCACTTTCATTGTTTTCTTTTGTGAATTGCAGTTAACTAGCTGCTTTCTGGTTCCATTAAAGCGGAAAATGATATCACACTTTTAAGGAGTGCTTTTATTAGTAAACCAGCTGGAGGAATTTGAATATCTGTACTTTACAGCTCTAAATTACAAGGGGTTAAAGCCTTCTTTTGATTTTGTTTCTCACCGTGTTAGCCGCATATAGGTGCTTTTGATGTCTATCATTTTATATACAGTGGTCAATGCCTTGTTTCAAGTTACCAGTTAGTCTATATATGCATTGATGTGAACAGAGCATGTTCAGTGATCCTTTTAGACCTACCTTTTCGCAAAATTCAAGTCTGCTCTATGACTATTTTTTTGCGTCCAAATGCAAGGATAGTTGTTAGCAGCTACTGTTCTCATAGATGTTGAAATGCAGGTGGATAGAATTGCAGCTACTGTTCTCATAGTGTTCCATGTGTTCTCACCATATATTTTGGCTTGTATGTTTCAAAAATGATCAGGTATAACGATGACTTGGTTTTGAGTGCTGATTACTATTTTTAGATGTCAATTCCTTTTCAAAAATCTTGCAATTTCTTTGCTGAAAGTGAGAAGGCTCTAATGCAAACGGTATAATGCAAACTACAAGCACGGGCTAGTCCCATTTATTGTATAAATAAAATGATAATATCCTCAGCAATGAAATTTTCACCAAGTTTTCTTATCTTAACGAGCAGAAAAATTATTTTACAAGCTAAAATAATTCGATAAATTTCATTAGCATATTGCCATTAAAAAAAAATGCAATCTTTTATTAGGCACTGTCTTCAGACGCAGGAATTGGATAACATGAGTTTTTAATCTGACCAACTTATGCCAATTGCCAAGTCAATTTTGTCTAGAAGTTTATCGCATACCGGCAGACAAATGTAAAACCAGTATCCATATGTAAGTATAGCTAGTTCGTAATAGATTAGAACAAGTTTTGTTGGTCGTTTCTAAAATGCGAAAGCGTAGACTGAGGAATACACGTTACAGACTTGCCTGCGTCCGCTCAACTTTTTTCCTCACCTATTCCAAGTATGTCAGTAAAACTACTCCTTTTCAAAGTCAGCCAAATGTTTTTTTATTCTTTACCCAAAGAATAAGATATTTTTTTCCTACTTTTCAATCCAATCTTTTAATCGGAGGTGAACTTATGAAAGAGAAGGCGGAGGGCAGTTAGGTTGATATGTAAGAACTTCAATCATCAAAAGTGAACCGTTGAGACATGAGATGTGAAAGTAGGCAATATTGATTATCACGAGTTCCACTTGTACTTGAATCTGCTGCACCCAAGTTTTCTGTAATAAACAAAAATTATTTCCGCGGCGAGTGGAATATAAACAAATCTACTGGAACACGGAGGACTTTACGAGATTCCAATAAGATTTGGGAAAACAATTGAACAAATGTTGCATGTTCTGTTACATGAGAAACAATGTACTTTGAAACTACTAAGGCCTGTAATAATTTTCCCGCTTGAATACACTCAAAGCTGAGAAGGGCCTAGTCCAAAAATAAAAAATGTCTATGATTAGTTACCATGGAGACTGCAATGGTTTCTCCAGCAATAAAATGATTAGAAGTTCCATCTCATGGTTATCAGTGAGGATCTACGGAAAGAAGAATGATATTAATGGATCAAAAATCAGTTAAATAGACGCTCAACTATGTATGCTTCCTCGCACGACCACTGGAAGGAGCAGCATCCTCTTTCCTAGTACCAGATGCCTCAGGCTTCCTTGCCCACGCAGGTGCACTGTCTGGTTCATAACGATAATCGTAAAAGAGTTCTTCTCCAGCGCAAATTCTTTCATTGGCAAAGATACCAACTCTGTGATCTCCAGCCACCATCATGACCTATCGAAGAGTTGAGTCAGCAACGCAGAAATAGGAATTCTACCATGGCCTCGAAGTTTTTATATAAAGTTAACTACCTTAGCATAGCAATTTGGAACAGGAGAATGATTTGCAAATTTTAGTTTATCACCCTTCCGATGAGCATCAAGCACAAACTGCACCGGGAAAAAGATAAGTTGTTCATATGAGTTGGCGGCAGAGACCATTAATTCTACGGACTAAAATACAAATAGCGGAGTATAGAGGGTGTTATGTCTCATGCCTGATCATTTAGATTGAATAGAAATGAAGAATTTTCACGATCATAAATCTTGCCACGCTTGTCAGCTTCACGGTGTGAAATTAATTCACCTGTGTACTCCCCAAGGTATTCATGCTTTCCAACAGTATTCTGAAAGTAATGCTTAAAGATGAGGCCACCAGAAACATGTTTCCACTTTATGTAAACCCATCGTGTTGTCAGATCTTACCTTCAAGAAAGCTCCCCAGCCAGAAACATCAGATCTACCAAGAAGAACCTGTAGATGAATATAAGTCATCACAATCAGCCTAGAGCTGAGATTTGGCAACTTTCATTCTTAACTTAGAACACCATTGAGAAGGTGGGAAAGGAGAAGGAAAGCAGCAGCTTCCTTTTGATGACTAATTACAGCAAAAGCTCAGATGATACATAAAACTATAAATGTGCAATATAGCAACAGAGGGTTTACCAGGTGAAGGCAGCATATAAGATTTGGAACCACACTGATCTACAGATAACTAATTGGATGGAGAACCAAGATTCCCTACAAGGTAGCTTGTTTCACTTGGCTACTAGTAAAGGAGGCTGTCTTAACCCATGATAATCTCATGAAGAGAGGGATCTCATTGTGCTCAAGATGCTTTCTATGTGGGGAAAATGCTGAGACAGTTAGCCATCTATTTTTACATTGCAAGATAACTGACCAACTATGGAAAAATTTTATTAGTCCCAGGGGTATCTCATGGACAATGCCCTGTAGGGTTACTGAAGTTCTTTTCAGTTGGGATGAAACTGGAGCTGAAGCAACAAACAGAGATAGATGGAGGACTGTCCCAGCATGTATCTGGTGGACAGTCTGGAAAGAGAGGAATTCTAGATGTTTTGAGGACAGAAGCAACTCAGCGCAGAAGATCAAGCTTAATTGTGTTCTACTATTGTGTTTTTGGTGTAAACAGATTTACACAGAAGATACTGTGTCAATCTTAGATATTCTAGGGTCTTGCTAGGATTGCATACCAGCTCTCTTATTTGCACTTACCTGTAAATATGGTTTTCAGTACAACCTATGTACTGATTTTATTAATATATACAAATGTTATCAGTTCAAAATAAAATATAGCAATATAATTCTCCACCTCAAAATGAATACCGCAAGATTTTTTTCATTTAGGGTGGACCGTCACAGCAAGGTACTAGAAAACGAATGAAAGGGCCTTCTTGTCAATTAGGACCAAGCCAGAAACATTCTTAAGGATTGACTCAACAATCTAGCCAGGGAAGAAGTTGAATATAAAAGATTAAGAAAGAAGTCATCTAATTCAAGAGCACACAAATTTTCAAAAGAAAAATCTTTTCCAGATAGAGGACAGAGGACAGTAATAGAACCCAGTAAAAGAATGTATACCCATTGGATAAGAAACTTCAATTCAAAAATTGATACCCTCTTCACGGAGAAAAAGGAAGACCCAGTAAAGATTACTTGTCTATGTGGTAAAATTTCACCAAATTCAAGAAGAAATAACAAATATAAGTACCTTTTGTTGCTGTTTGAGAAGTAGCTTCATATTCCTGCATTCATGACTATCACCTCTTTGCGGAGGAACCCCAAGAGTACCATCACCACAACTGGGAAAGCCAAATAACATGCACATGAATTATTTGTGAAAAGAGACGAGTGCTAAAACATACATATTTTGTTCATTTTGAAAGATAAGACTATTGCTAAAGTCTGCACAAGACAAGCATTATATGAACTGTTTAGCTTGGCAGTTAAAAATAGTTACTGCTAAGTTTGTAATAATCTAAGTTCCTCGGACACGGGTGCGGGTGTCCGACACGGGTGCAGATCTAGAGGTCGGATCCTTCGAAAAGTAAATTTTATGATTCGGGGATACGGATCCTAGCACGGATACGGGTACGGGGATCCGACTAAAAATAATTCAAAAAATATAAAAATATCTCTAAATTATAAGAAATTTTGTGGAATACATATGTATAGATTGTAAAGTGTGGATTTCTTTTTTATTCTCAAGTTGTAGATAAGTAAATGATTGATTTCCTAGATAAGGTATGTTATTTCTTCAAATTTACCCTAGTTTTGGTTCTGATTTCGGGAATCAAATTGTATCTCGTCTCGAATTTTTCCTTCCGTCGTTGTCAAAGTACCCAAAATTGTTTGACCAGATCCGGTACGGATCCCATACCCACACATACTAGTGTCGTGTCGACACGGGTGCGGCAGCTAAACTGCCGTGTCGGAGCAACTTAGGTAATAATTGCTAATGCAAAAAGGTTTAGTCCTTCAATTGGCATACCCACAACCCGAAAAAGTAGAATTAAGGCTTTGGAAAAAAATGGTGAGATTTGGGACAAAAAAGAACTCCACTACCACTTTCCTCTAGAAAGGATCAAGATGATTAGCAAGTACTAACCCAAGGCAGGTATACAGAAGATGGGCGATCCAACCAAGGAAAAAAACTATTAAAGATGTCTGTGGGCACTAGAAACAGTTTCTGCTATGGTATTGCTAATCTAAATAACAGCTTAAAGGAACTAGAAAGCAACAGAAAATAACAGCATGGCTGATAGAACGCACCTGATCCAACAATTTCGACAAACATCAGGATCACATTCCCTGCCTGCAGCAAAGCAAGGGCATTGACGGCTTCTACATTGACTTTTGGCACAATGACAACCACGAAACCTATTTTTGCAACTCTTTGGGCATCTAGGAATAAAAATAGCAAAGCACTCGAGGAACATTAGCTAATCAAAGCATTAAATCTGTAATAACAAAGAGATGTATGACAAAAGATACAAAGTCTGAGGTTGTGAATTTCAAAAGGGGTACCCCAGTGTCTGCTTCACGGTTCTCATAGCAATTTCTTTTTGATAAGAAGCAAATGTTCAATGAGAAAATCTCATAGCAATTTCAAGAGAACAATGCTGACTTACCCACAGTATTTTTCACAGCAGGTCCCATTTACAATGCAGGGACATTCTTTTCCACAAGGGCCTTGACAGCCACATGGATTAAACTGCCGACAGGGTTGATCCTTCCTCTCAGAAATCCGTTTCCTAATTGCATGATATCCAGCGGATTTCCATGTGTATTTTAAACGGCGAACTCTGCCTCTTCTACGTAAAAATTTGGATCTTCTTCGAGGTTCATTACCCTAAAATATATTATGAATATATTATCACAACAGGATTTACCTAAGTGGGCTATGATTCAACTTCCCTTACCAAAGTAGAACAATTTTGAGAAAAGTAAACACTGACCATGATTTCCTGACCATCGTTGGAACCACCTTCAAGACCGCCATTCATCCCATCACATGCTCCTGAGAATGGCTTATTCCCGGATTTGTTCATATACTGGAAAACCTCCCAGCATGTCTTCAAACCATTCATGAGATTTCGAGCTATCAAACAGCTGTATAACAAATAAAGTTGATAATCCAGGTTAAAATCAAAGGTGTAATGATACAAATGAGAAAGGCACTCAAATTTATCACCCAAAGGAAAAAAATTTAATCTTCACAACCAATGAAACACAAAGGAGTTCGTCTGTAGGTTTTCATATTCAATGTTTGAACAACTCAACTGGGTCCGCTTAGTACAAAGATTTTAGGCTGACTCAGTCAAAGATTTTAGGCTGACTCAGTTCATCTCATAAAGTTTGGACAAATAGCCATACCCTAAGTTTCTAATTTCTGAGAGTGAAGAAAATCACTGCCTTATGGGTAGATACGATACTTCTCTTGCTGCACAAACAACAAATGACCCCAGGATAAATTTACATTATCTCTCATTTAAGGATTGCAAATTAGTGACTAGAAGCTTGCTTTATACGAACTTTGAGCAGTCTGATATCTTGGTACACAGTAGACTCGGTGGCAACCAAATGATCAAGGTTGTGAGTTGATAACAGACCAAGTTGGACAGGTGAACTTATATGATGGCCAACGGGTAACAATAAATAAATAAACCTTACATTTTCATTAATTAGGAGGCACTGTAAAACAGGATTGGAATCCACAGCATCAAAGAAAGCTATCCAAGCCAGCATTTCTTTTTTCCCCTTGTTTGGACAACGGTGGTATCTAGGCCAACTTGTGTGCTTGCTTTTCGAAAGCTAGCACAAGGCATCTAACTAATATGCTGAGCATCATTTTCTTTTTTGTCAGAAGGCAGGCAATGTGTCAGTGATAATTTCACATCTCATAACACAAAACGCCAAAACTTATAAAGATGCCTCACGTATATGGAAGCAAAATAAGCAAGAGCAGAGATATAGCAAAGCATAGTTTTGGAGTTTACCAACCTGCTTCTACCAAACATTTCTACACCCTTTTCAAAGAGAGCCTTTTCAATGGGTCTCCAAGATTTAGCACTATCTATTTCTTGTTTGCAGTTACTCTCACCCACATATTCACTTTTCCTCGACGAGTCATCACAATTTGTCACAGGTTTGTCACTGGTAGCTTCCAGCAATTGGCAACCAAAAGCCTCTCCTTGCAAAGAATTTTTACTGTCCAAAACTGGAGAGTTTTTCCTCCTGGACCTTTTAGCACTATTACATTGTGTTTTTAGTGAAGATGGACTCACATCTTCATTTTCCTTCTGTGAAATAGAATGAAGATTCAAATCTTTGGAACCTAGACTTCCACTTGCAACAGAGTCGGATTCTAAAGCTGTCATTTTCTTCTGCCTTTTCTTAATGGCAACTAGAACATGTTCAGCTATTCGCTTGCTGTTCCTTTTGTTGCTCCCATCTTTACTGGCAGATTTGCTTTTCAATGGAGATGAAGAGTGCTCATTAGGAGTGACATTATTTATGAGTCTAATCTCTGAATCACTGCTCTCCGAGGTGTTTTTCGCATTTGATGGAGCACCTTCACCTTGTGAAGACTTTGATCTTCTTGACACATGCTTCCTACCTGGCATCTGAGTATTATTAGCAACGTCAGATGGCAGGACAGATTTTTTGCCATGAGTAGCGCTCTGAGGACAGATCACTGTAGCATTACTTTCGAACTTTATAGCCTGAAGTGCATAAAAAAGTAAATAAGATTTGGAGGTAGTACAACCAAAAAAGCGATACAAAAACCAGCATACCTAATTTGTACTGCTAGAGTTTTTAGACATAAGAAAAAAAGCAGGAAGCCAAATTAATCCTCAAATGTCTAGAAATTGTACAGTTTTAGAGAGGAAAGATACCAGATTGTAGCAATTTGGACCACAGGGCTCCATATCTGCATTAGAGCAGTACCATGGTAGTTGTTTTTCAGCCTAATTAATGTAAAAAGACATCATAAGCATCCCATTTCGAGTACATACAGTTCCAAGGTAATGAAACATCTGTCGGAAGACCAATAACGTACAGGAAAAATAAGATCCTGTGAACATCCATGTAATCTACAATCAAAGACCTGCCAGTGTGGGCAAAATGAGAAGGAAAACATATTATAACTAGGAAGAAGTACGAAACCAAAAGAAACAACGAGAAGAGAAGATTCGATATAACATTTATGTGGTAGTTTGGTAAACAAAAAGTAAGAGGAATAACCAAAGATATACTTACAAGACATCGACGACAAAATAGATTATCAAAAGAATCCATAGCGGCATCAAGATCTTTGGCAAGATATAAATCTAAAGAACTTTCCATGCACTCATTCTTTGAAGTGCCTGCATTATCTTTCTTAACAAGATCTTCATATCTTGCCTGTATAAATGTTTGATGGTGTTTTATCTCTGTAAAGCCAGCAAAAACCAAAAAATGGGAAACAGCTGGACCAGAGTTCGCACTATGACCAGTTTTATTAGATAATGGATGCTTATGACAAAGTGTAACAAATATCAAAACCAAGTGTGTACCTTCACTTCACTAGGTTTTCTTGACAAGCACCGTCCTAGCAATTCCAACACACTGTCAGACAAGCCAACTTCTTTGATAGTCATTCTGCGAATAAGCAGACAACGATACATTATCTTGACCATCGTATTCGTGACATAAAAATCTAGATCAAGTTCTACATTTAGGGATACATAAAAACAAGACTTAGCTTAAGTCGGGGGAAGAATTATCAAACAATTGCAGTAGATTTAGACAGATTACAAGCTTAGAAATTTTGCACAGCCTTTATAAATTAAGAGAATACGGTCACCCATACTTGGCATCATTAACAGTAATTAATACAACTGTCATGATAGCATGAGATTAAAAATGTGGAAGCCACCTCAAGATTAACTACAGTCAGATTGTGATGATCTTGTCTTCAAAGTAATTAGTAAGCGCCATAGGCCCAATGTCTGAACTTTCTCTACACGACTGGAAAGTATGTTTTTTTATGGTAAGGGAATATTAGTTCTCAAGGTATAATAATCACAGTGGAGAAAGAAAAAAAATAGCTATGACATACGTAACAGGTAAATCTTTCCTATGGGAACATTACAGAAGCAAAGTGGAGGAAAATATTGATGGAACTATCTAGTACTAATCCCCTAGCTAAAGAATACGTAATCCTTCAGAGAAACATGACTCCATTGTTTCATGTGGAAAACGTTTTCTCTGAAGAAGATTCTCCATCTACCAGAAAGAAAAAGAAATTACTAAAGGGCACAATTGACTTCAGGTAGCTTAATTTTACCAACCGCAGCATATAATCTTCGGACTCTGCAAACACCTTCTTTTCTTCTTCTTCTTCAAGTACTTCTTCATCACTATCACTGCAAATTAAAGTTTCTCCACCATTCTGGTCATAATAAATTCTTCTACGACCAACCACAGATTGATCCTCACTCATTCTCTGATTTCTGCAAAACTCAATGTAGGACCAGAAAAATTAAAATATCAGGATGAGAAGTAACTGGCAATAGCTACAATGAACACTTTGACACCTACAACTATCAAAATGGTGAAGTGGCTTTGTTACTTGAAATTGTAACATTTAGAATCCCAGTTATTTCCTGGCTTTGGACATAAAAAAAAGGCAATAAGGAAAAGAGCTAAAGACATTTGAGACAGCCCTATCGCTGAAAACCAACGCAAATAACCTACAAAAAGACATGCATCAATTTCTCCATTCTGCCTTCTGCCTTCTGGGAGGCATCTTCTAAGAATAAAGAGACTGTACAAACTACTATGTAAAACAAGGATACATCAACAAAGTTGATTGTGTGGAAGGCAACATGGAAGTTGACACCACTTTGTCTCTTTTGGAGTATATGGAATGAACACGATAGGAGGTTGTTTCATAATAATAGTGGGAATGATGTCGAAGCATTAAAAAGTCTTTTTTATTTCACTTGTATTTTTGGTGTAAAGAGAAAATACCATGGGTAGTTTATCAAGCTTGGTGGAAGAAAGTGTATCACCCAGACAGACGCACATCTTGTACATATTTTTGGACACCGAATTGGTGTTTATTAATGAAATTCTTTGACTTACAACAATATCAAAGTTCTCTGTGAAGAGGGAGGAACAAAATCCAACAGATAACCACTTAATCAGTATTGATATACTAAGATCAGGTTCACATATCCAGAAACACAGGCATCAACTAAAATCCACTACTGCACTGATCGATAGCCTGTGGGAATAATAATCATAAAGAAGATGGTCCTGAAGTCAAGGATATTAAAGTTATATCTAAGATCATACAAGAGATTAAGATAAAAGCTGCTATAGACTATAAATTAAGAGGATAGGCAGTTCCTTTTTCTTTTCTTTTTTTGATAAGTAAGAGGATAGGTGGTTCTACTTGGCTGTCAATACAGAATACAAGCATTGGATAAAAAGTCCTATTCTGGGTATGAGATTAAAAGTTAACAAACTAATCGAAGACGAGAATAATGATTAATAGCTATTCTCAAGGCATGTACAGTTTTAGAGGAACCTCATTAATATAGCTGGGGTGCACGAAACCACAAGCTGTTAAGGAAGCAAAATTCAAACTTGAACATCAGGTGTGTACTTTGTCAAGACAACTTAACACACCTATCCAAGAAAATCCATGTAGTATATGGAGGTATTCTTTTCTCTTCTGGAAGTTTAATGGGACGTACGGCGTTCTTGACTGCAATACTTGATCCTAAAAGAATTGCAGAAGTGGCATATCCGTCATCTTCAGAGCTATTGCTATCATCATCTCCATTATTGCTATCAATGCCATTTTGCATATCAATTGCATCCTTCTGCCTTTTCGATAGTAGATCAATTGTTCTGTCAGCACCAAAGATTTCAAGAGATTTTCTCTCTGTTGCCAAATTGTAAAGATCCTTTGTCAGATTCTCCAACTTTTGTGTATTTCCGTCTACCCTTTTCTGCGAAGAGAAGAAAACGGGTCTCATTAGTTCAAATATAGTAAAGTACCTATAATCAAAATTCAAAACTGATTATTGGGCAGAACGCGGAATAAACTGAAAGACAGAAAAAGAAAGAGCACCTTTATATAATCAGCACGTTCAGAAGCAACTTTTTCCTTCAAAGAATTAATAACTGATAATACTTCCTCAGGTTCTACAGTTGCATCTTCAGGTTGCACATTCTGTCAAGAAAGTATGATCCCATTAAATGATAATCTTTCAATTTTACAGTAACATCAACAATGCCTCAACCCAAACTAGCAGCCACTCGCCATATAAATCTTCAATAACCATTCCACTCCATTTGGATATGCACCATTCCAATTTTGTATATTGAAAAAAGGAAAAAAGGAATTAAGTGTGGCAAGAGAAATAACAATTAACAAATATTGGAATGCACATGCAATATATGGTTTCACTTCCTCAAAACAGGCGAGAGCCTCCCACATGCGACATAAGCAAAAATACTCGAGCACAAGATACCAACTGAGAGACACTCAGGTATGAAAATAACCCTATGCGATCCAAAAGCAGTAATTCTAAACACAACTAAACAAATAGTGCCACAGAAGTCTTAATTAAATGTTTCTGAAAAATCTCAAAGACTAAGAGAACAAGATATATAGACGAACCCATACTACTAGTATTGTACTCGAGTCAACACTCTGAGGAAAGGGGTAAATGCACTAAAGAAGCACAATAAAAGGAGCATTTTGCTGCGTGAAAATCAAAATGAAATAAGAGAACCACCAAAACAGACCCCGAAAAAGGGAAGTGTTCAAAACTAGTTTCGCAATCAGGGATTAAAGTACCATTCACGCACGATTTTTTGGATGGCATGAAGACATAGTTGAAATCTTTAGTCCCTTGTTTTGTATTCTTTATAGTACCTACTTGGTACTGAATTCTAATGAAATTGACACTACTTTATAAATAAATAAAAAGTGTTTTACAAGGTATTTCTGGGGCGAGTCATGGGGCGGGGCGTAGTAAAAAACACCGGGGAAATCTGGGGGTGAAAGTACAGCGAGGCATAAGCCCCATTGTTCTGAGTGTACGCTTAGGCATTGGCGAGTTCTTTTTCGGTTGGGGCATAAGCACAGAAAAACTTTCAAATTAGAAATAAAATCACTAAATAAGTCCTTAATTTAATACAAAAAACACAAGAGTCAGCTTGTAATTAAATCCTAAAACGTTAAAGAACATAAAAGTCAAAAGATTTTTTTATTGTTAGCCATAATTTTCGTTCTTTCTCCTTGTCTTCTACAGGGTAAAAGGAAGAGTGATCAATTTGCAAACTCCAAAGCAAAATGGCATCATCTTCCATCATTTGCTCCGGTTCGGTGCTTCTGATGGTAGGTTCATTCATCGCTTTTCTCTTTTCAAATTTTTGTTTTTGCTCTTTCAAGTTAATTTAATATTTTCTACTCAATTTTTTTTCCAAAGTCTGAATAGTTTTTTAGATGACGCAGTTCTGATTAGTTTTTTAGTCAATTGCTGATTATGATTAGCGTTTTAAGATGAAGCAGTTCTATATGCATTTTCACTTATATCATATTTTCAAGAAATTTAATTTCAATGTATTTTACCTTCTTTTAATATTAATCTTTTTTATATCAATTTATAATATATTAATAATTAAAGATCCACTAGGTTTACGCCCAGAGCCTTGAAGCCTATGCCTCGCCCCGTATCAGATAAAACGTCTCGCCTTGCATCGGTGCCTTTTAAAACACCGGGAATTCATCAAGAACTTCTTAATGTAGCAGTGCCTCTGTCAAAACATCAGACTGTATACAACAAGTGAAACAAAGAATAAGTAACTCGTACAGATCAAAAACATAGCTGGCAGTACTTCTTTTCATTAAGCATAGCCGGGCAAAATTCATTTTTTTGTTGAGAAAATAAACAAAGGAGTAGAAAAAGTAAGATTTACCCAACTATGCTTACAACAAACACTAGGTAATTTCTTCCCATCTACCGAAGCCTAAGCCTTGGTGGACAGAGTTACAGGGTACTGGTGTTGGTGAGAGGTAGCAGTTAGTGAATTGTTAAGGTGTGCAAGCTGGCCCTGACATCACCAATCATAAAAAGAAAGTTTTTTTGTGGCCAGCTGCGTTTTCCACTAATACGAATTATCTATTTGGTCTCATTGTGGGATTATCTACCTGGGACATAAACTAGCTCCGAGAAATAACAATGCAGCTGGTGATTCACTATATAAGTTACGAAATCAAAGAGACTAAATAAAGTTACGATCTTTTCTATGTTCAGAGCAACATTAAGAAATATCGAAATGTAGTTGAAAAGAAAAACATTAAATTACAGAATCGACACTGGACAAATTACCGTAAGATCATTTAAAGGTTGGGATATGGAATCGGAGGGGGAGTCGTCGGACACCGACGACATTGCCGGCGTTGAGCACGATCCCGCAACGGAGGTCCGGATATAGATCTACAAAACCCGAATTTTGCGGGTCGGGTTAAAACCCTAGCTTTTTGAAGTTTCGGAGAGGAGGGGGAAGGGGCCAAAAGAGGAAGCTGTATTGGGTATATCGCTTTTCTTTTTTTTGTTTGGACTATAGGAGTACTTTTTGGTTGGAGCATTTATTTATTAGATTAATTTAAAGTGAAAATTAAAGAAAGAAATTATCTGTTTGGCTCTTAATTCTATGTTTGGTGAGAACTTTGGTTCTGATCAGTCACTATTATTTTGATTTTTTTGAATTTCAACCTTTCATGTTTTGGGGATGTGGACAACTTTTCCTTTTTTCTATTTTTTCTATTACATAGAAGAGCCAAGAATGATCGACCAAGGGTAGAAATGTCAATTTCTTGCCATTCAAAGTCATTTTAGATATATTTCTGCAACGCGTCTTTTAACCTAACATCAGCTATGTACACCGCCTGCTCCACCTTCACTACTCGCCTCTTGGTTGCTCTCTTTTTCCGTCTATGATCTTTCTTCCTTTTCTATTCTTTAATCGAAATGGAAATCTTGGCAAATCATACAGGGCGAGCATTGCGAAACATATATATTAGTCGATCAACAAGGAATTAGAAGGTTTTCTATTTTTTCATCTTCTTCGTTTTTTTTTTTTGGTTTTTTTATTTTGCTTCCTTTTGCTTATTTTTCTCATGTACTGCTAAATTTAAAAATAAAACAATTTATAATTTTGGATTTGTTGTATCAGATTTTTGGGCTTCTTCATTCCTGCATGTAGAAGTCCAATTGGATACAGATTAGCCAAGAGCAAGCAGGTGATCGACATACCTGCTTGAGGAGGAGGTAGATTGCTGTTGTGGTTCTTAAGGTTTGTTCTTATGCAATAATCCATGAATATAGAGATTTTCTGTTTTTTCTCGCTTACGGAGCATTGTTGGTAAGAACCACAATAAAAAAAAAAGAGTAGATTTTGTGGTTTAAAATAAATTTTTTTTAGGTGATGTAATTATGTATTGGGCAAGTTTCTTGTTGCTCTTATGGAAGTTGCTGTAAGTTTGCCTCTTTTATTTTTTTTGGCCAAAACTGTAATTTCTTGTTCCTACTCTCTATCGAACTATTTTGTTATCACGACACTATTTTAGTTTCTCTGTTCACTTTAGCCCTTTGTGTGTTGGTGTCACACTCACAAGCTTAATCATAGAAGAATCTCACCACAGATCTAGAGGGAAAGAGAAACGTAGAAGGTGAAATATGTCAAGTTATCATCCGTACTCCTTAGATAGTCATAGTTACTGACTTACTTCTCTTTGGATCTAAGTTATAGTTTAAGAATTATTTTAAGAGAACTACATTGAGTTCGAAATGACACATGTCCTTGTAAAGAACTTTTTATGAGGTTTGTTAAGGACTCTATTGAAACTGAGTCTCCAGATGGTATTAAAAGTTCAATTTAGGTAATTGCGCTTTTTCCTTTGAGTTGCTGAATATGCTAAGCCGATATTAGACTTTTGCAATATGTGGGTTTCTATAATCTATAGTACTTCATACCTCTATTGTACTCACAGACATATAGGCGAAGAGGAACATACGAGAGGAGGTGTCTCGAACACTAACATGTAGTCCAATATCTATTGTTTCAGGTAATTCCCTCTAATTCAAGGTTACTGGTTTAGGGTACTGATTTTCGTAGTATGATCAAATTATGGAGAATCTTTGCTCTCTGCTACGTGTATTTATGACATTATTCATGATGAGTTCAAAATTCAAACACTTACGAGGAAAAATTCAATTTGTTAGGTTGCTCTGCATGTTTAGTTAGACATGTATTTATCCTTTTCTTCATTTGAGAGCCAAGAATGGTCGACCAAGGGTAGAAATGTCATTTTCTTGCCATTCGAAGTCATTTTAGACCTATTTCTGCAACGCGTCTTTTAACCTAACATCAGCTATGTACACCGCCTGCTCCACCTTCACTAGACGCCTCTTGGTTGCTCTCTTTTTCCGTCTATGATCTTTCCTCCTTTTCTATTCTTTAATCGAAATGGAAATCTTGGCAAATCATACGGGGCGACACTACAACAAATTTGATTATCAATGATGAATTATTTTGTCACCTATGATTCACTTTTCGTCACCAAAGATTTTTTTGTGACGAAATCCTTTTTGTCAATCTTTCGTCTCTAATACACCATCACTAATAATATATAAAGGCAACTTTGTGTTTCGTCGCCAAATAATGAAGTATTAAATACGAAATTCTTTTTTTTCCCCAAACACGTAATATTTATGACGGATTTATTTGTCATAAAAAGTATAAAAAAATCGTACTTAATAGTATGATTTCGTCGCTAAAAAGTGCATCAATGTCGACAAAACTGCCTCGTCTCTAAAAATTTAGTTTAATTAGTGACGACGTCAAATGTCTCTAAAGCTACGTATGTTTCGTAGTTGAAAAACCATAATTTTGTCACTAAAGACTACCTTTTATCTACAAAAAAGTATTTCGTCCCTAAATATATAATTAGTGACAATTATAATTTTGTAGTTAAAACTACCCTCTCGTCGCTAAAAAGAATATTTTTATCGACAAAACAAAGTTGTCACTATAAGTTATCATAATTAGTGACGATTACAATTGTCAAAAAATACAAAATTGATTCGTAGTCAATAAAAAGATGATTTTGGGACATAAATTATTTTGTCACTAAATATAGCGAATTTATGACGAACTTAATTTGTTTGGTGACGAAAATGTGATATTCCTAAAACTATACAAAAGTGAACTTTTTTGTCACTAATAACAAATGTTTGATGACGTTTATATTCATATTTGTTTTAGATTGACGTTATACGAATTTGAAATAACATAATAAAACAACCAAGGTAATAACATAAAAATAAAAACAATCAAAGGTAATAACAAAAATATTCACCATTGATCATAAAACTAATATTAAAACTATATTGAAATAAAAGCTCCTTAAATTAAAAGAAACATAGTTAAAGTAAATATGTCCAACATAAAAGCCTAACTAAGAAATATTACTCCTAAACTAGGACTAAGAAGTGGAGGAATGCAGTGACACTTCACTTGCAATTAGTCTTGATCCAATAGTTACCTTCATATACCTGTATAAAAGATAGAGAAAAAATTACTTTAAGTTAACACTTTATGGTATCAAGGTATAAATAAAATATAATTGGTATAAACTACAACTTTTTGTTAGACGTAGAGTTTAATTGGTAAAACAAATAATTGAATTGTGCTACAAATAAATAAAAATAGAGAAAAAAACTTAAATAAGTGTGAAGTATAGTGTACCCAAACGGTGATAATCTGGTGGGGCGTCAATCTTCGCTGTATCATTAAAAAAACCAATTCGAACTTAGATACTAAA